TTAGAAAAACGTAAAACACCACCATAAAATAATTTTTATTATTTAAATATATATATAAAAATTCCAACATGAACCACCACCATGAATCCGTGAACTAACACCGCTAGGTCCGCTACCATCAACCCCCACCACCGGGGCAAAGAGAGAAAAAAACTATATGTACTTTTTTTGGTGGACAAATTGAAGATCAATATCAATCATTTGCTGGGAATTGATGATTTGTGGCTTATTATTTGGACTGAAATGAAATTTTCATTACTGTAAAGATATATTATCCTTGCCCAGTCAATTTTTGAAGCATACTTTTGTCTGGATCCCAATTGGTTTGCAGAATTCCGGTGGCTTATTATTTCCTGTTGGTTGACGCCGAGACTGCTTCCCCCGGCCAAGGGCCAGTTCCTAACTTGGATAATAATGATGACCAAGGCCAACCCAGAAATATGGGCTAAAGCGGCAGTAGTGGTGGTGTTAAGATATAGATGGTGGTGCTGTCAGGGGCGGTGCTGGTGGTTCATCAGTTTTTAGAAAGTTATAATGTAGAGAGAGAGTCAGTAGAGATACAGTGGTGGTTGGCGGTGGTTTGCCAGAGTGAAATGGTGGGTGGGTGGAGGGTGGTGTTGGTGGTTGATGATTGTTGAGAAATATGTAATTGTGATTATAGACAAAGGGTAATTTGACGTAAATGTATAGAATTTCTAGTGTAAAGTTATCGTATTTATAATATATTGTGTTAAAAGTGGTTTTATACACTTATTTTTTTTTTAATACTATTGTTTTTGTAATATAGCAAAAATAAATTATAATTTATCAAATAAACCCTTTGTTCTACGATAGAAATTCTTTTTAGCCTGGATTTAACGAGATAAAATAAAAGTAGTCAATAAATAATAGAAATATGACATTATGAATAGGAAAATGATAGGTGAGCCTAATTCCTAACCTATTTCCTAAACCTAGACATTCCCAACTATTAGATGGTTTAACTTGTATATATATTTGAGATCCAAAGTAGGTCTTCTGTTAAACCATCTAATATATAACCAACGAGCCAGTAATCTAGTAGTATTAGTTTCTTACTTTCTAAAGAGAGGTCAGGGATTCAAGTTTCATAAGAGATAAGTGTGTGTGAGTACTAATTAGAAAAAAAAAAAAAATAAATAAATAAATAAATCTAATATAATAATAAAATTTTCAAATTAAGTAGTCATACTACGATCCTTAAGAATATACCCTTCTTCATTTTTCTTCTCCATTGTTTAGTCACTCTGTTTAATCGGTTTAATTAACATTATTCTTCATCGATCGTATCTAACTTCGCATTAGTGAACTAAAAGAATATTTCAAAGATTGTAACAATTCAATTTTATAAAATAGACTCTATTGAGGATGTGGAGCCTCAATCACAAGCTCAATTTATACTGTCACTTTGCAAACTCCAATCGGGATTGAGTTCCTCTGTGAGCTAGTGGGGGGTTCGAGTTGCCCAGTCCGCTCGCGAGAGTCCAGGGCAGCGCCCTATGAATTTATTATTATTATTATAATAATATTATTTGGAGATTGTGTTTTTTTATACCCTTAGATGCCCTTTGTGTTTAAGCCTCCTTATTTTTTAATTCGTGTTTAGGTTTTATGTGTGATGAGAGGTATTAGGAGGTTCTTTGAGTTATAGCTCTTTCTCAATGAAATTTTAAGTTACTTTTGAAGCAAAACAACTTTATCGAGCTACGTAAATCATGTAGTAATTTTTTTGGTTATTTTTCTATTCACAAGTGACCCTCGTCAATGAATTTATTTATGGATGTTTATCAATATTATCATTGAAACGCGGTGTGAAAGTTCTAATGTTGATTGGTTGAAAACACGCTAACTTGTTTGATTTTTGTGATTGATTAAATCACTCACAATGATTACCAATTTCACATTCACAACTACAAAAATATAAACACTGAAGTAAAGAGTTAGAGAGATGACACGTGGTTTTTGAGCATGAAAATCGTTATTGGAGGAAATCCGACCAATCGGAATGAAAATCACAGTGACTTTCGCTGTCTCGAACGAGCTGATTTAAGCAAAGTATAATGAACTATCACCTACTCTGCTCTACCAAGTATTAATTATTGAATATCTCTCCGGCTTAATTTGCAACTCCCCTCATCCAAATGCACTAAACTTCAGGCTTACTCCTTTGATGCTTGTAAAAGGCTTGCTGGTAGATTAACGAACACTCATCGAATGCTCTGACCCTTTTACAGTGAAATCGATTCGTCATCTTTCTTCAATTTTGAATTTTTTGAATGTTAGAAGAAAACCCTGCTGGACTGATCAAACTTTGTAATATGATGTAAATTCTGTTGATCAGTAAAAGAATATTACCTTAAATCACTCTTTGTGTTTAAGTGTGTTTTCTCAAAAGTAAACAATCAGATTTTTCTCAAAATCTCTCTAAAAAAGTTTCAATGTTCATGTAAAAGATGAAAACCCTTTTTTTTTTTTTTTTTCCTTCCTAATTGAAGGAATCAATCTTTTTTTTTTTTTTTCGGTAAATGAATCAATCTTCCTTAGGGTTAGAGATATAAGAGGTATTTATATGCTAGAGAGTCTTCATAATGAGTAAAAAGAATTTAAAAACGTACAAGGATATCCCTAAAATAAGAAACTAAAAAATTACCAAAAGTTGAAATCCTGCACATTCAGGAAAACACTACCGGTTCACTTTAGAACGCAATCAGTTCTGTTATGCCTGGGACCAATTTTGAATGTAGAGAGTGGGACAAGTAGTGTTTTGAAGCATAACTAGTTCTGTTTTGGCAGAGAGCTCCAATTTAACACACTTGAAGTGCAACCGGTTGTATGTACTCTTACAATGGGCAAAAATAGACATGTTTCGACTCTCAAAAACTCAATGCTCTTGCAACCAATGCAAAACATACAAGTGCAGTGTGTCCTCACTCATGTATCTGTTCGGATATTCTCATCGAATTTAATGGTAAGAGGCACATGCGCTTCAGCTCTGAAAGATCGAGACTCAAGATAAACAGAAATACAACTGGATCATCAAATTTTGACTTCAAAATTTACCAACGCACAAATTTATCTCTCATAAAACTCTAATCTAGTAAGTTCTATTTTAATTTTTACCATCCATCTGAAAAAAATGAAAACAAATATAGTTATTAAAAAAATTTAAAATATGTTTCATGAAAAATATTTCATGATGGTTATGGTTTTCCTTAAAGAATCAATGTGAGATTTTAAATTTTCAGGAAAATTCATGACGGGTATCATTTTCCATTAAAATAATTTTCATCATGTTTTAATTTTATTAGTGAAACATGCATTTAAAATCAACCTTAAAAGATTTTTTTTTTTTAAATTCCTTTTAAATTAAAAAGTTTTAAGAGATAAACTAGTATCGTTGTAAAATTTTATATTGACATATATTTTGAGATATTCTTAAAAAAAGAAAAAAAAAAGAAAAAAAAAGGAGGAACATTTTAATTGGTGAATTAAAGTAGACACCAGGAGATGCCGCATAACAAAGTGTATGTATCTAGACATTTTTTACTTCCGTACTAGTCTATCTTTCTTCTCCCAAAATTGGACAAAGTTGTGTAATTTTTTTTTTTGTATGGATAAGAAGTGTGACGCGGCGTTCAGTCAAAATATACCATTTTATGACTTAATCTATGTCAAGATGTTGGTTCCTGTACGTTTGTTTAAACCATAGGCGTGTCCTATTCGATAATACAGTAGTCCGTTCCACACAGTGCAATGAAGGACCTAAATCATCTCTCATGTGTTTATTCGATACACGAGTATATCAATTATACAATCTACTACATTACAATATAACATGCCATATATATCTGTATTTAAAACGATAACATTCATGTCACATAGAATTAAATTAAAATTTTAATAAACTTTTTAACGTAATTATTGTATTGTTGATTTAGAGTAACTTTCTCGCTTGTTTAGAAGTGCATCAATATGTTTTGATAGACCTATGAGTGACACAATTTCAGAAAATATCGCGGGTTGCCCAGTATAGTGGATTCACCGAGAAAATAAATTGGAGAAGTGCTAAACATGCCAGACATAGGTCCAAAAAACTTATATTTTTTTTATGTACTCTAAGAAAAAGAATCAAATAATTAATGAGACTAAAATCACCTAATAAAAAGAGTGATTGTGAAAGTCATTACCCTGCATTACTTTTAAGGTTATTGGGTTAACAATGTGAATGGACATCACAGACGGACTAACAAGACACGAGATGTGCATGTAATGTGTTGACGATGTGAATGAACATGATCGACTGATCAACAAGACACTAAAAATATAAATTGCATTGAGTTAACGATGTAAATGTACATGATAGACAAATCAACAAGACACGAGATATGTAAACGCACGTGATAAGACATAGGACCAAAATCGAATTCTTCCACTAAAGCATTTGATAAGACATTGGACCAAAATCGAATTCTTCGCATTTGAAGGGGCCTATTGGTCATGGTCATAGTCATCTCATCAAATAATATATTAGGCTTATATATGTATCTGCTTACATCTTTCTTAGAAATAAACGTCAACAATACTAATAAACTAATAAGAGATCAAAATCCTATAAATATGTATATAAACCAACCTCTTCCCCTAACTTACATTTCTAACACAACTATTTTCTATTTTTGAAAGCCCCCGGAAGTAAATTCAAAATCATAATTATTATACTATTAATTATATTTAACATTCGAAATTACTAGTAAATTTCTATATATTAATTCCTTTGCAGATTCTAGCTTAACACCTAAAAGGAAGGAGGGAGAGAGTATCCAAGAACCTGCTTCGATCTCTTCTCTATAAATACTCCATAGATAACCCAGAAGAGAGAAAGAGAGAGAAGAGATTTGGAATTACTGAAATTCGAAATTTGGAGTTTGACAGATTCTTTAGAGAGAGAAAGAGGGAGGGGAGATAGAGAGAGAGAGAGAAAGATGGGAGGTTGCTTTTCGAATGTGAGAGGAGGCCAACAAGCGGTGGGAGGGGCCCAACAAAGGCCCCTACAGAGGAACGATGTTGGTGTTGGTGGTGGTGGTGGCGGAGGCCACAATGATGCTGTTGACTACTTCTTTAAAACGAAGGGTCTTGGTGCGCTCTTTACACAGATCGAGGTATATATATATATATTCACAATTTCACACACACACGAATACGGAGCTGGGTTTTAATGAAGAGTACTTGCCACTTTGAAACCCTGGTTTTCTCTGTCCTTTCAATGTTAGGTCAATTTTATCCCATGTGGTCCTTCCTTTACTGATTTATTTTTTATCCTTATATTTAATCCAATCGTCCTCACCCTCATCATTCTTGCCTTGCCTTAGTTTTATATGAATAGGTCACATACATTCTTTAATTTTTTAATGTAACTTTAATAACATCATTCCAATTTATTTTTCGTATATGTATATGTATGCATGCGTGTGTTTCTAGGAGTGTGGGGGTCGTATTTTCCAATGTTTTAAATGCCAAGAAATGTTGAGTTAAATCCTTGTTGTTGAGTGACATGAAGGAAATAAAGAAGAAGACATGACTCTGCTTTGGGACCATTTTGGCTTGCTTACATTGATTTTTGGAAAGAAAGCAAAAGCTAAAAAGTGCTAAAGAAAGTGAATTAGATGCATATACAGTGTTTGGTTTTTGAACTCAATGACACCGTCAAGAGACGGTGGGATGAAAATTGATCTTCGCCAATATCTATCAATTGATATTAGCATATGGGTTTTTATTTGGGAGAAAGATCCTCTCAATTGGACTGGGCTTTCCAGGCACCGGGGAAGGTGGATATTACTCGCACAAGTAGGTTCAGAGGGGTTGACTTATTCCATCACTGGCCATTAATTATAAGTCAATTAACCAAAACATGACCAAGATTCGCTCCGCTTTATGTGTATTTATCCTTTTAAGTATAAGACAAAGCTGTTGATTCCAGAATTCGGAATCTTATTTGTCCTGAAATTAAGAAAAAATGAACTAATGGTGAATACATCAAGTTGGCCATAAAATGTAGCTTTTACCCCCTTCATGCATGTCTTGGTCAACTAGATGCGATTCCTTAATTTATTATTCTGATATAAATTTGTCCGGGGGGGCCATAGGTATCATCCATTTGGATCCTTCCTTGTATTCTACTATTCAACTTGAGCTTGAGAAACTGTTAAAATATGTTTTTGAATCTTTTTAAGACTCTTATACACTTTAATTATCTGATTTGGGCACCAAGCAGACCAAGTAAGTTCTTTCTATTAGATTCTGTCTTTTAATGTTGATTCCAAATAGTGCTTTATGTGACATGGATGTACATCGAGCAGTGCAAACCTTAGCCATTTGAAAGAGACACGTTAATGGTTGACAGTAAGATTTTATACTTGTTTTGGTGCGTCAAGAGGGAAGATTTTTTTTGGCAGATTCACAATCAAAATTGTATTTCTGTGTTTGGATAAGACTGAATGTTCCAACTGTCTATCACCTGAGCAGAAACATATTTTGCAAGTTGTGGACCATGAATTTATCTCGTCACTGAATAAGACTGGAGTTATACACAACTCCTGGCGTGACAATAGTATGATACCACTGCCAATAGGAATGCCGGTGGACCAAATTGCAGTATAGTAGGGTTCTTATCTTCTTTTGTTTTTTTTTAATTTTTTGGGATGGGTGGAGTAATACATCATCATAAATTTTATCTAAGGTAATTGTGACGCTATAGGGTTGAGTTTCCTTGTCCTAATCTCACCTATTTTCTTTTCATGGCCTTCACACACTATCTATTTAATTTCATTGTACATGAAGCAATAATGTGTTTCAATTGAAATGCAGTTATCTTTGTCGGCTTCAAAATTACGGGATCGTGACATCATTTCAAAGGTATGTTTTCAAATACATAGTTTAAAATCATGGGATTTGATGACTATATATTCATTGAGATAGGTTCAACAATTATTCATTGGTTCTGTTGTTTAATTTTGATTGACTATTTGGTATATTGGCCGCCTTGTGAATCTGATTTTTGGAGTGACAAATATTTGTACAAATATTTTTACATGAATTAAGAAAATGTAGCCATGGTTGGTCGGTTAGGTGCTGCCTCCATTCTGCTATCTCTATAGACATTTCACTGGGACCATATAACATGTGTGAATAGTCATTCCCAACTCTTAGAAAATGTAATGTGGGAAAGCGGTTCTCGAGTCTCCAAAATCAAATATTTGATCCACAAGTTTTAATTTATTTATGCCCTTTATTTCCAACTACCTGTGAGGGAGGAATTCATGAATGTTTTTTATATAATTCATTCATAAGAGAACAAGCTGGAGACCACAGGCCACCTGGCTTGGTAGATAGATATATACTCTGATATGTACTAAGGAATTCTACCAAAATTGTCATTATATGGTTTGACCTTGAATTTTATTTTTTCATTGCAGAGTGATCCTATGGCAGTAGTTTATGAAAAGAAAAGAGATGGAACCTTAGAGGAAATTGGCCGTACGGAAGTGATAATGAACAATTTGGATCCTGCTTGGATCGGAAAAATTAATGTTTCGTATCAGTTTGAGATTGTTCAGCCTCTGATGTAAGCTTGTCGAATTTCTCAACATCCTTGTGTGGATTTCTCTTGTTCACTATATCTGGTATAAGAATTTATTTCTCATGATTCTATTTTGTTTTTTCAGCTTTCGTGTGTATGATGTGGATACGAAATACCACAATTTACCAGTGAAGGTACAATATGATTTCACTTTTTCAGGTCATTTAATACTTGGATTTGAATTCAATAATCCTCACTATGTAGCTGAGATTTATTTTACTTTTGCCAATGCCTAAAGAATGCAATATACCAATGTTGGAGAACAGAGAGAGAATTAAGATTCACCCAAAAAGTAATCGTGGTAATATTTATGAACTGATGCAGTTTCTACTGCTTTTGGTTTGGATTTGGAATTCTGATGAAAATGGATAAAAGTATTTAGTTTTTAAATATCTAAGATGCGTGTTGTCTAACATCATACTAGACGGTATGAGATGCTAGTAAGCTACTGTATGTGCAACTTACTGATGGTGAAAATTAGATAGTACATAACAATAGATCTGTTATTTATGACCAGTTGGTGGTTTCTTACGTGGCTTACACAAAGTTATGGGTGCCAGAATTCGACTTGTTTGCCTTGTTGGAATGCACTTTACGTCTTGCATGTGTGTTAGCTGTGAGGTGCAAGAAATTTAGAACTGGGGAAACATATGGAGCTTTTTTAATTATTTATCTATTTAGTTTTTATTTTTTTTATGTTGTTTCATTTTTTATTTTTATGAGAATTTGAAACCGAAATAAAATTATGAAACGTAGATCAAGACTCATTCACATGTCCTGAGACAATCATCACAAAAATTTCTTCTTTTTGACTCTGCAACGCTATTGCAGAGTAGTCAACTGTTTTAGCTACTAATTTGGTAGTCTAATTCCTTATTTTGACTACTATGAGTTTGACTTTTTTCTTTTTTCTTTCTTCTTTTTTCTTTTACTTTTTCTTTTGGTTTGTTATTTTGCTATGCTATTTGCACACAGAGGGACTAAAGTTTGCTTTAAAAACATTGGTTCAGGCCATCGACCTTGATCTCCTTCCACTCTAGAACTAACTTTCCTTTAAACCATTCAATATCTTATTAAAACAGATCTTAGTGATTTTATTTGCTCCTTTCTATATTGTTGCTTCTTCTACGGTACCTTTTTATGGTCGAGTGGCCTGAGTATTTAAAGTAGAATATATAACACATATAAATTCAGTATCTTCATGACAAGTATGATATCGGATGGCTAAATGATGATTCATGAACTTTTTTTTATATTACATTTTCATATAATATTGTCATGTGCCATCATATGTATACATTAATTTTTTGTGATATATTTTTTAATGGTGCAATGGTTAATGCGCCCTACCATTCTTGGAGAGAGTTTTTGGAAATTTATCTTCTTGAAATATTTATTTTAATTTTCTTTATGTTCTTTCAAGAGTTTTAGGCTTTTAAATGTTGCCCTTTTAAGAATGATTAAGCCACAAAAATATTATTATTTATTATTTTTATTTATAGAATATTTTTTTTATCCTCAATCCGATCCTAAAGACCTACCAATTGATCCAATATGCAATTCCGATTTTACAACCTTGCTTCACAGGCCAACCTTTATTATTATTATTATTATTTTTTATTATTAGTAGGTTAATGAGGAGGGCTGTTGAGTTGGGTTTTTTGAGAGGGTTCTGGGTGGGTAGAGATGCTGCTAGCCAATTAGAGATCTCTCACTTGATGTTTGCTGATGATACGCTCGTGTTGTGTGATGCAGAGGAGTCCCAGCTCAGGTATTTGAGATGTGTCTTGATATGGTTTCAAGTTGTTTCCGGCCTGAAGGTGAATGTTGGCAAGAGTGTTTTGGTGCCACACTAGCTCTTTTCCTATCTCTTATTTAGGTTTGCCTCTGGGAGCTCCTTCAAGGTGTGTGGGAGTTTGGGATCCAGTTGTGGATAGATTTGAGAGGAGGCTTGCTGGCTGGAAGAAGCAGTATCTTTCCTCCGGGGGGGGGGGGGTGGGTCACTCTAATTAAGAGTACCCTCTCTTGCCTTCTTATTTATTTTATTTCGCTTTTCCAGATTCCCGTCTCTGTGGCTGAGAGAATTGAGCGCTTGCAGCGTAATTTTCTGTGGGGGGGCAAAGTGGAGGAGTTTAAGTTTCATTTGGTTCGGTGGGAGCATGTTTGCAGGCCTATTCATAATGGTGGGTTGGGGCTTCGTAGATTGGTGCCTCTCAATAAAGCTCTTCTTGGAAAATGGTTGTGGAGGTTTGGAGTGGAAAGACATTGGCTTTGGAGGAGGGTTGTTGCTAGTAGGTTTGGGGAGAGCAGAGGAGGGTGGTGCTCTCTTAAGGTGCGTGGTCCGAGGCGTGTGGGGGTCTGGAAGTGCATTCGGAAGGGTTGGTTTGATTTCTCCTTGAATGTCCGTTTTAGATTCAGGGATGGCGGGAGGATCAGTTTCTGGGAGGATGTTTGGTGTGGAGATATTTATCTTGCTCTTGCTTTTCCACGGCTGTTTAGGATTGCTTCGAATAGGCAGGCCATGGTAGTTGACTGTTATCATCTTGATAGCGGGAGACTGGTGTGGGATGTTCGGTTCAGGCGTCTCTTTCAAAATTGGGAGGTTGAGGATGCCATTCGTCTGTTGGAGTTGTATCGGTAGGGAGTCACGGTTAGTGAGTCTGATGGTTGGATTTGGGCTCCCAGTGCTCAGGGTCATTTTGATATGCGGTCCTTCTTCAGGTGTCTTTCTGTGGAGCCTAGAGGGCCCTTCCCGTGGAAGTCTGTTTGGCGTTCTAAGGCTCCTCTCAAAGTGGCCTTCTTTACTTGGACTTCTATGTTGGGCAAAATTTTAACTGAAGATAATTTGAGAAGGAAAAATCAGGTGGTGGTCAATCGGTGCTACATGTGTCTTAGGGATGAGGAGATAGTGGACCATCTTCTTTTGCATTGCCCCATGGCTAAGGATTGTTGGGATTTGATGCTTGGCTTGTTTGGGTTCCAATGGGTCATGCCTCACTCCGCCAGAAAGTTGATCGAGGCTTGGAGAGGGTGTTTTGTGGGGGGCCATGTTCGTGATGCTTAGAGGGCTACTCCTCTTTGTGTGTGATGGTGTATTTGGCTTGAGAGGAATAGGAGATATTTTGAGGGGAATGAGAGGCCTTTTTCTTTTCTTAAGTTCTCTATTGTTTTCACTCTTTTTTGTTGGGTCTCAAGTAGAGATTATAGATCTTTAGATGAAATAGTTGATTTTTTGGCCTCTTTAAAAGTGTAATGGCTGTTTTGGCCTGTTTTTGTTCCCTTGGGATGTGCTCCCCTGTTGAGCGCGCTTTTTATAAATTTCTTACTTACGAAAAAGAAATAATAATTTTCTTCAAACAAGTCAACAAAAGATTGAGTGTGTGATCATATGATCCACAATATGGGTTAACATTATGTATTTCGAAGGTGTTTGGGCGCAATTCATCATTTTACCGCAAATAGTAACTAATAGAAACTTCTGATTATCATAGGTAAACAAAAAGTTTGCAAATGATAAAGTTCTTCCATTTTGTTACATTGCAGATGCTGAAGTTGAAAGAACAAGAATTTCTTGGCGAAGCCATTTGTGTAGTATCTGAGGTAAGATTCCTTGTATTCACTGGGGCCTAATCGAATTCAATAATGATGCTGCAAACTTTTCAAGCTCTTTTGTCTGCCTATTTCATTGAGTTTGCTCCATATATTTAATAAGTGGGGCAGTTTGAAAAATTATATAACGAAATGTTGCAATAGCTTTTTCAATTAAAAAAAGAAAAGAAAAAGGGAACAGCTATTCCTTGACCTCTTTGGTTGAGCAGCATCACATAACTGAGCAACTAGTCAAAATAACTTGTCCGATATGTATCACAGGATATGTTTGGTTTGAACCACGTGTGTGTCTAAATATGTGTTCATCGTATATGCCGAAGTCTTAAAAATCATTGGATTTTGTTGTTTGGGAAATAGTTCAACTCGTTGCCTTTACTGTACATTTGAGAAAACTACATGTTTTAATTATTAGAGAAACTGTTCATCTATGCAATTAAACAATATTAACCATAGAATTATTGTTCTCATGCAAGCACTCGCATATATTAGCCATCAATAATTACCTTGGCATTCTTCTTCACTCTATATTAACAGCGTCAAAGTGACAAAATTTGGATGTGTATAAGCATACCCAACAGTCCCAAGGTGGCGGGAAATCTGTGAAAAGTAGATGCGTATGGGACTTGAACACATGTCCTCATTAGCTTTTTTGTCCATGGACTGTTCCTTTAACTACGTTGCTGCATATTTCACAACACGTGTCTCACTACATTCTACTGGCCCCTTGTTGGAGTTTGTTTTCTTGTGTTGGTTGTTTGCCTGTTTGCCTTGGGTCCCATGACATGCGTCAAAATGCGGATTCCAGTTTTGTGAAAGTCCAGACCAACTTTGGTTTGATCCACTCAAGGAACTCAAATTTGAGCAATGTGTGGAACTCCTATTACAAGCACCACATATTTGGACAATTCTTTTCTGGTGGGACCCACTTGTGGCTTCCCCCTAGTTGAATATGTGTATGTATTGAAAACTGTGCAATAGATTTCTTCACTGAAGGATGGCTTTTCAGAACAGTGCTTCTATATCTCTTTCTTAAATGAGGCTTGTTCTGTAGTTATTATAATCTGAAATGGTTGTTTGGAAATTTCTTTCTTTTTATGTAGAAATATTCTTAAATGTTTACTTCTCTTTCTCCTTTTTTAACTCAACAGATATTGACTAAACAAAGTCGGAGTTTGACCCTTCGCCTTCACAATAAAAATGGGCACAGTGGTCTGAAAAACTTGGGGACACTAACTGTCCATGCAGAGGAAACTGCCGGTTCAAGAAATGCTGTAGAGATGACATTCCATTGTTCCAACTTGGATAACAAGGACCTATTTTCCAAAAGTGTATGTATTTGGAAGCATATGTCATTATGGAGCTTTTAGTTACTTGTGGAATTTTTAGCTCTTAGATATTTTTCTTCCTTACTGCTTTCAGGATCCTTTCTTGAGAGTATCTAGGATTGTTGAGACTGGTATTACTGTTCGAATTTGCAAGACAGAAGTCGTGAATAACAACTTGAATCCAATTTGGAAGCCTTTATGTCTCACAATGCAGCAATTTGGGAGCAAGGCAAGTTTGTCAATTCTTGTGATTAGATCTGGAATGGATTAAGCTTAGTTTATGATATTTGTGGTTGTCTCATGTTTTTGTGGCAATGATTTATGTTTGAGCTAATTTAACATAAAGGCTCTTACAATTTTGCATTTTTGAAGGCATAGTCACCGTTGGAAATGTAACTGAAGGGACATAATTATTTTTATCTCCTAATTAGAACATTTTGTCCCTTGATCCAGATTTGTTAATTTACATTTTGTGATGGATACAACTACAGGTTGCTATTATTTATTTATTTTATCGGTTGTTTACCAAAAAAAAAATCTCTCTGGTGCAGGATAATCCATTAGTTATTGACTGCTATGATTTCAATAGCAGTGGCAATCATGTACTGATCGGGTAATTGTTCAATTTATTCGTCTTTTCAATTCCTTTTTTTTTTTTTTTTTTGTCAGTTAGAGTTCCTTCTTTTGTTTTGTTTTGTTTTTTTTTTTTTTTTTTTTTTTTTTTTTTCTTTTGCCTTTTTGCTTGTTTTATTATTTATTTTTTCTTTTATTGCTCATTATATTGACACTGCAGTTCTTCAGTAAAATGCAGAAATCAGTGACGGACCTTGAAAAACTTCACAAAGAAAAGATTGGTGCAAATTTTATCATACCATCTGTTCGCCAGGGTCATGAAAAGGTATTTATTTTGTACTTGAAAAGGATTTTAGCCACTTGTTGTATGTCTGTCATGTCTGAACCGGCACTGCTTATCTTCTGTAGGTTCTGAAGGGTCAACTTTTTGTTGATGGCTTTGTTGAAAAGGAACTGCACAGTTTTATCGATTACATTTCTAGTGGCTTTGAACTTAACTTTATGGTTGCTGTTGATTTTACCGGTAATAGACCTCAACATTTAAAAAAGCTATACTATTCCAGTCAAATTTGTATTGTATATACAGTTGTTTGGCTCATTAATTGAATTTGAATTTTTTTCCAGCTTCAAATGGAAATCCTCGCAGTGTAAGTTCTTTGCACTACATTGATCCTTCAGGCCGGTTGAATGCTTACCAGCAGGTAAGGTCAAATTTGGAATTATCTATAGCTTCAAAAATAATTTAAAAAATCTTCAATAGTTTATATTGGGGCATATGAGCCTACCATTAAGTCAGATACCCTTGAGTTTCCACCTGTGGTGTTCTTAAATTCTGGAAGTGTCTATGCTTCAAGAATAATTTTTAAAATTTGTTCTAGCTTATAGGGGCTAAAGAGCCTACCATTAAGTCAGATACCCTCGACTTCTCCCATGGGAATGCAGACTCATAAACTTGTTTTATCTGTTGATCACATTGATTTGACCTGTCGATGTGGTTATAACTGCGGATTCTATGAAAGTTGTTGTTAAAGTGAGTGCTTAATTTAATGACTGAACTCCTCGCAGGCTATAACGGAGGTTGGCGAGGTCATACAATTCTATGATTCTGACAGGTGCTTTCCTGCTTGGGGCTTTGGAGGAAGGACGTTTGATGGTTCAGTATCTCACTGTTTTAACTTGAGTGGTACAGTTGGCTTTGAGGTAAATATATTGCAAGGGATGGAAAAGACATCCTACTTTACTTGTTTTTAATTTGGGTAATTACCTTGATTTTCCCTGAGGTTTAGGCTTATCAATGTCAAATGAAACTTTTAAAAAAAATATGGTCAACCTGCCCTGAAGATTTCTAAAAATACTCTGACCTCCCCTGCCAGTGAAGTAATCATTAGGGCCGTTAGACAATTTTATGTGAAAGTCCAAAACTACCCTTACAGTAAACAAAATGACATAACTGACCTTTCAAAAATTATGGAAAGACAAATTTAACCTTTCTCTTTGGACAATAATACCCTTATTGGTTGAGACCCATTTCATTATTTTAACATCCAGCTTTTATCTCATTTTCTCTCTCTTTGGTTGTAGGATAAGTGGCTTCCTCGCTCTCTAAACACGAAGTTGCTCTCTCCATTTATAGAGCACATCTTCTTGTTAAGAGCTTCTCTCCAGCTAGTGCCCAATATTTTATCCCCTCTCTGTCACTCTCTGTCTGTCTCTGTCTCTCTCTCGTGTTCTGGTTGCTATTGTGACTGTTAGTCTATATGAGATTGGATTGGTTGATCTATGTTTTATTGGTTGTTGTAGTAATATACACTTAAAAAAAATGCCTTGAACCCACTTCTTGTGAACCAAATAATATTCAATCCACACGTAGTTGGAAGCAGAACTTTCAGCTCAAATTGGAGCTAGAAATAGAAAAAGAAACAAAAAACAAACAAATATGAGATCAAAGAGGAAAATCTAAAAGCTAATAAATTAATATTTAAATATAAGTGAATATCTAAGAATTCATACAAGTAACGGAACTTCAAGGTCAAGTTTGGAAATTGGAAAACAGAACAAACCGAATAAGTGACTCATGATCTGATTCTAAAAATATAACTGAGTATATGAAGAAACATTGAAGAGAGAGATATGCCAACTCTACCTCACAACCTTCACGGTCACCAAACTCTTTAGATCTTTGTGGTTTTCATTAGAAATGCAATACATATGTTCAAGATCACACGGAATCAAATTTCATGGTTCTCAAAACTTGGTTTGCCAGAGTGTTTGAGATATCTTCAAAGTGGTGGTTTGGGGTGATAAAGGAATATGGAGAGATCATGATTTGTGATGGAAGAGCGATATGTTTGGAGTATGGGTGGAGAGAGAGAGAGAGAGAGAGAGAGAGAGAGAGAGAACGTGCTCGAGTATGAGAAAGAGAATGAGTGTTTAGATGAGAAAACTTTTGATGTGACAATACATAGCAGAGGGGCAAAATGGTAAAAATACAATAACTTACTTACATCAGCTTTAATGGTTAAATATCAGTGTATTATACAGGGGACAATTTTGTAAATTCACATCAAACGTTAAAGACTTGACAGTGGTTAATTCTGGCGGTGTCAGATATTTATTATAAAACTTTCATCTGATATTTTCTTACCCAAACCTCAAGGGAGGTCAGAGTAATTTACACTTTTAGTTCTTGTTTTATGCGCACCTTGTCTTGTTTCTAAATGCAAGGTGTGCCATCTTTCAACTTGGTGGTAAGAAGGAATCTTTCATTCTGTTAGGAACACAGTTAAGATACCTGTAGGTTACAAATGTCAGTGCTGAAAGTTGTTTAGCCTAATCTGTCATTAGTCTCAGATTTATCGTAGTTTATGTATAAAAGATATCAGACCATGTGGAAAGACAAGCTTTATTTTTTGAGCAGTATGCTGCCTTAAACATCATATTTTCATCCCGGCGATAGGTGTATGTGGGTGGTGATGCTGCCATCATTGATGAATAACCATATAAGTCTGGTTCCTTGCATCTTTTACATGGTGTGATGGTCAATTTCCCTTCATGTTACAGGTTGAAGGAGTAGAAGGTATAATGGCTGCTTATTCAGGTGCTCTGCACAATGTTGCTCTTGCTGGACCCACCTTATTTGGTCCGGTTATCAACAAGGCTGCAGAAATTGCTGGGCATTCCCTCTCATACAACAAGAGCAAGTACTTTGTCTTGCTGATTATAACGGTAGTGAATCAAACGACAAATATTTGATTCTTTCTTGTTCTTTCTATTTTTTATTTTTGTAATAAAATAATTTCATACTTTTGTAGGATGGAGTCCTTACTGATCTTCAGGAAACTAAAGATGCTTTAGTGAGAGCATCTGACCTACCGCTTTCAATTCTTATTGTTGGAGTTGGTGGTGCAGATTTTGAAAAAATGGAGGTAGTGTATCCTTAATTTTTTGTATTCAGATTTGGCCTTCAATTAATTCACTTTTATTAGCATAATAGCACTAAAAATCCTTTCATTGTTGGTGTTGGATGTTATCCTTTTACAAACCTGTGTGTTAAAATTGGTATGTGACATAATTCTTGTTTATCTTGCAGATCCTAGATGCCGATGGTGGGCAAAGATTAGAGAGTTCCACGGGAAGGATAGCTACACGAGACATTGTACAATTTGTTCCGATGCGTGATGTGCATGGTGAGTTCATCTTTGTTTAGCTTACAAATTTTAAAGATGTTAGACATTTCGGTCAGATTTTTCTTGTTCTCATATGCAATTCTAAAACATAATTGTTCTTTTCATGTTCCTATTTTCTAGTGTATGTGTATCTACTGTATTCTTGTCAACCTTCTTTGATGCTTTAAGCTTCTTAGCTTGCCTGTTAATGAAGCTCAAGTTGAAGGTGGATTCAAAGGTGGTCTTGGTTATTCATTGGGTATTTCTGTTACAATCTTACTTTAATGAATACATTTGTTACATTAGGAGCAGATTACTGGTTCAGCTGAGCTTAGTTGCTTCAAGCTTGGCTTGTGCCAGCCAGCCACCTTTGATGCTTCGAGCCTTTTGGTTGTTCAACCTGGAAGAAGCTCATGTGGAGATGGATTAGGAGATATGATTCGTGCATGATTGGAATTGAGAAATAAGTTTTCCCAACAGTTAAGAGATTGGTTTTGATGGAAACATCAAAGGTGATGGTGGGCAGACTAACATGGCACGTACTGCAAATTGCTGTGTGCGATTTGTACCTCTTAAGTTGGTATTGAAAGGAATAGGTAGGTTGTAGAACTAGACTACCAATCAATAGTGCATTGCCTGCCTTGTTATGACATGACTGGGAAATCTATATTTTGCTTTTAGCAGTAACACTTAATGTTGTCGTAAGCCTGAATAGGGTTCTGCTTATCAGAGCCTGATCCAGCCGGAAGTGTGCCGACGAGGACGTCGGGCCTCCAAGGGAGGTGGATTGTGATGACTATGTGGGCGGGTATGCCGTGGGTGGGTGCGAGACACTGACAAGCTACCACACTAGGCGAGTTACGGGTGCACAATCCCACATCGCCTGGGAAAGGGAAAGGTGAAGTGCTTATATGTAGGTGTGTCACTTCAATTGGTATGAGGCCTTTTGGAGTAAAGCCCAAGAGCAAAATCGTGCGGGCTCAGGCCCAAAGCGGACACACTATTGAACCTGATGTAAACCTTGCAATTTTCAAAAGACAGTTTGTGTACTAATTAATTATATGTGAAACTATCCTTCTTCAGTTTTGTTATAGTTTTCGTCTTCTGCTTTTCTATTTCACTATAAATAAAACATTTTATCCCCTCGTGTAGGCGGGCAGATCTCAGTTGTTCATGCTCTCTTGGAAGAGCTACCCGGCCAGTTCTTGACTTACATGCGGAGTAGAGATATCAAACCACACACGGCCAATGTAGCCCAAACTTCTTCTCAAGCGTATCCAGACACGGCCAATGTACACCAAGCTTCTTCTCCAGCGTATCCACACACGAGTAATGTAGCCCAAACTTCTTCTCAAGTGTATCCACACACGGCCAATGTAGCCCAAGCTTCTAATCTAGCATATCCACACACGGCGAATGTACCTCAAGTTTCTTCTCCACCGTATCCACACACGGCCAATGTAGCCCAAGCTTTTTCTCCAGTGTTTCCACACACGACCAATTTAGCTCAAACTTCTTTGCAAGCGTATCCACACACAGTCGATGTAGCTCAAACTTCCTCGCAAGCGTACTGTCAAGATCACCACCAATAATTTCAGAATTGAAGTAAATATTTCCCATCTTGGTTGAAGCTGTGCTGGCATCATTACATGTACAGGAATTGCTTAGAATCGGAAGGCGTTTTTCCATGTACAGGAATTTATTAGAATTGGTAGATGTGAAGGGAAAAAATATATAGAAGTGCATATCATTAAGAAGTAGAAATTCTTTTGTTTTTTAAACAGTAAACACAAATTGTTTCACAGTGTTGATGGTATTTCAAGAAAAGTAGACAAGTGATGGTGCCAACTATGATTGGTTTGATAATATTGATGGTGGTTTCATGATCTTTGACATGTTTTTTTGAATTCGTTGCTTTTTCAGCCAAGAAATGTATGCGATGTGCATTTTTTTTTTGCCATTATTTTAAGAATGAAATTTCAGAAAAAAAATTTACTTCTTCACTAGAGCTTTATTTATATTTGATTTGTTACCAAGGCATGGGAATGAAAGTTAAAGGGTGGGAAAGAATGTTAAAGGGGTCTTGACTCTTGTCTCGCATCAAATTCAAATTGGGAAAGTCTTGAACAATATGGTTTACCTTTTGGGTCGGGTAGCAAGCTTACAATTTGTTTTGGTTAGAATATATATTATAGTATAACCATATGTTGATATAGTTTAAACTTGAAAAATAAAATAAATAATAAAATAAAATTCTGTTTGGTTCATTTTTTTTAAAATGGTTATCTAAAAACTTAGTTATAAAAATATATGTTTTCAGTGAAAACAGTTTTATGTTCTCTTAATTCTTGAGAACGGTTTTTATAGTTAATATATAGTGACTATAAAAGTGTAAAAAATTTCACTTACATGTTATTTTTCATAAATGTTCTTATTTATATTTTTTGGCGGTGTCTTTTTCGTGAGGAGGAGCCGTACTCGTATTCGTGTCGGACACTCACAATCATGAATACTGACACTCCTCGGTCATGTGTCCGACACTTCATATAAGTATCTATAAATAAAATTTTAATTTTATTATTTTACACACTTAGTCGACACTTTCTAACATATCTAATATAATTTTATAAGTAATATTGAAAATAATATGAACGCATTTTAAAATATACAAAGACAAGTATACATATTCATTTAAAATTAAAACACCACACAAACTAGTAGAATATCTTTATATATAATATAATATAAAAATCATTACCATAATGAAATAAGTAGAGTTTGGCATGTTTTAATCATTTTTTCCATTACTTAGAAAAAGTGAGTTACCCATTCAACACAAGATTCTATCATTACAGCGTGAACAATTAGACATCCAATCTGTAACCCCTGCAACCTAATTGCAAGACCGGAGCTCTACCAAAAATCTTTTAAATCATTTTAGAACGAAACTTAGTATAAAAATTATAAATAAATATGAATTTTATAATACTATTACACAATAAATATATATATATATATATATATAATAATAAAAATTATTACTCGTATATAATAGTGTGTATTCTATTTTTAAAATTTTTTTATATACTCGCCCGTGTGTCCATGCCACTTAACCTAAACCTACAATTAGGGGTGGCAAAAATCCCCAACCCGATGGGGAACCGCCCCACCCCCGCCCCATTTAAAGCGGATTTGGAGAACCGTTTACTTAAATGGGGTGGGGATGGGGGTTAAAAAAAAAAAATCGGCCGGTTGTGGGGCGGGGGCGGGGGACTAAGATCCCCGCCCCATAACCGCCTCGTTTAATATTTTAAATTACTAATTTATCCTGCCATGTTAATCTATTTACCAAATTAACCTTCACTATATATATATATATTGGAAACCCTGCACTTAAGTTTCAAACCCTACACTTCAATAGCAGCGGCAGCCGTGTCTCTCTCTGAGTTATCTCTCTCTAAAACCCAGAATACATCCACCATTTCATTTTGGGGACGAGGTCAGACCAGATTAGATCCGGATGAGTCGTTGGAGAGTGTGGTTGGGGACGAGGTCTGGAGCTATTGGGTGAGTTTGCCGTCGTCGAGCCAGCGTTGGATGCTGAAGCGGTTGTTGGTGACTCCGCCATGGAGAGTCACAGGGGATTTCATGACGTCCAGTGAGATTGGACACCTGAAGAAGCTAGGAATTGTGATGTCCAAACTTCTTGGTTGGTTTGACTGTGAATCTGGAGGCTGTTGGGTGAGTTTGAGAGGCGGCAAGGCGGCGAGTTGGTGGGTGAGTCAGGATCGAATCGAGTCAGACCAGATCCGGATGAGTCGTTGGAGAGTGTAGATTTTGTAGTTTGCAGTTGGAGAGAGAGAGAGGGCAAGTTCAGAGTTTTGATTTTTTTATTCTTAAACAATCTGGATATAGGTTTTGAACTTTTGATTCTTGCAGACAATAGATCAACTGAAATATATAGGTTTTGACTTTCTGATTCTTGTAGATTTTATAGTTTGCAGTTGCAGAGAGAGAGAGAGAGAGCAAGTTCAGAGATGAGAACAAGAATAGAGATGGAGGCGACTGGGGAGGCTAATTTGAGTTGCCCTGAAAATATAATCGGTTATGGGGCGGGGGCGGGGGCGGGGCGGGGGCGGGGCGGTTATGGGGATTAGAGGCAAAAAATTAACCGGTTATGGGGCGGTTTCGGGGGCACCAAAATTAAACGAGGACGGGGATGGGGAATGGGAAACCCGCCCCAAATCGCCCCATTGCCATCCCTACCTACAATCCCTAGACATCACCTGCTGCAAATGCCAAATGATACATACAAATATGGAGGAAGAAACGAGATTCTTATAAGATTGATGAGAGCAAGCAAAGTAAAGAATGTTTGCTCTTGCTTCATACAGTACCTGAGAGCAAAGTCAAGAATGATTCCTCCTTCATCACTCATATATTAATAAATATACTCTGTAATTAATTGTTTTGGCAAAAGTAGAGATTAATTCATTCACTCAAACACGCCTCTTCAGTTCCAAGTAACTGCTACCATCTCCTCAAATTGGAGAAACCCAGAAGAGAGAGATGAGTTTTGGAATTACTGGTATATGAAATTTGGAGTTTTACAGATGAAAGAGTATATATATTACCGTTGGCACCAAAACTTGGCAGCCACTTCAGCGGTGATGTGGACCAATGGGGAGCCGACAAGTGTTTATTATGTCAAAAGGAAAGACGGCCAATTGAGGAATATTGGGAGAAAATCTAGCGAACCATGTTCAGCCACCTTATCAAATAAGGTTGTTGTTGAATATATTTATAGAGATTCGAATCAACTCAAATATGGTCATTGATTGAAAAAGAAATACTAGAGATTTAGTTAAAATGAAATCCCTATGAAGTAGGAATTTAGTTGGAAAAGGAAAAGGGATTCAAGAAAGTGGTCATTAGGCCATTTAAGGAAGATACGGCTGCCATGTTTATAAGAAAAGAAGTTGCTAAAAACTAGCAACTTTCCAGCAACTGGTTAGCAATTTTTCAGCAATGTCTCAGCAACTTGCATGTGACTAAATCGAGGAAGGTTGTTTTAATAAAGATTTCCTATTGAAGCAAGATGAGAAGGGAAGCAGAATAACAACGGGATTTGACTCAGTTCAAATTATGAAAAGAAAATAAAGGAATGAGAGATTTTCTTGCAAAAAGTTAGGAAAATAAGTTAGTTAAGATTTCTATAAATAGAAGTATTGTAATCATATTCTAATTTGTCCAGCACCACCCACAAAACATGCATTTCTTATTCAATTGACTCTACGTCATTTTCCATCAATTTCTTTATGGCAATTTTCATTCAAAGAATTTAAGTTCTAGTAGCTTACTCTTCTTTTGCAATGCTTTAGCTATGCTATTTACATTATCAGCCATTTTCTTTCAAGCAAACGGATTCAATGACCAATCTTTGATAAGATTCGCTTCATGTTAATTCGGCCAGTTTATTTCTTTCTTTCACTTTCCATGCAATTTCCATTCTGCCTATTTTAATTATACACCTTTCAATTAAAAATGTTTTCAATTCAATGGCAATTGATTAAATTCTTGTAATTGCATTTAGTTGACAATTAATTAAATTCTTGCCACGGCATTTTGTTTTATTGCATTTCTTTCAGTCAATTTCCATTCTGTCAGTTTTAATAATGCTATTTCAATTCAAAATATTTTCAATCCAATGGCAATTGATTAAATTCTTGTCATTTCCTTTACTGGCAATTGATTAAATTATTGCCACTGCATTTTGCTTTACTTCATTTTAATTATGCACAATTCAATTCAAATTGTTTTCAATTCAATGGCAATCGATTGAATTCTTGCCATCTATTTTTATTCGGCCCTTTTCATTTGAAGTCAATTTCCATTCAGCCTGTTCATTCCAATTTCTTTAGTATTTGCATTTTTATTTCTTTTAACACTTAGATAGAAGTCTTTACATCAAGGCATAAAAGAACTTTGCTGGAAGTTCTTACTAGTCTCTCTCCCACACAATTGCCTGAGAGTCAGCCATCAAAAAAAGGGTTCAGCTGGTGTTCGAATCAATATTTTGAGTGTTTTATACAAATACTTTGGCAGGCCCGCAAAGAATCCATCGACTGGCGTAAGACCAAAAAACCGTGAATAATTACACATTTCAGATATTGTAAAGAGAGAGGGAGGGAGGAGAGAGTGACAGATGGGAATGTGCTTTTCGTACCTAAGAGGAGGGCAACAAGCAGTGGGCGGAGGGGTCGTACTGAAGATGAACGATGTTGGTGGTGGAGCAACCCACAACGACGCTGTTGACAAATTCTTTAGAACAAAGGGTCTTCATGATCTCTTTACACAAATCGAGGTATATTATACACACACTCTTCTAAAGTAGTACTTGTGACTACCTTTATATCATCCCAAAAAAGGTAATTCTCTGCTGTCAATGTTGGGTCAATTTCATCCCATGTGATCAATGTTTTGTTGAATTATTGTTGTTTAGTGTGCTTTGCGGCATTTTTGGCTTCCTTTTCTCATTAGAATGGGAGAATTTCTTGGATTTACATAAAGAAAATAAAAAATTAAGGGATCGTTTGGCAACTTATGCGTTTTTGTTTTCATCCGAAACAGAAACAATGTTTTTGTTATGATGTGTGTTCATTTGTGATTGGAAGCATGCACATTTGATATTGTTTGATCACTTATTCTTCCGGGTAAAATAAAAAATTTCTAAAATTTTAAAACCTTCCGGGGGAAAAAAAATATATTGGAAGGTCTATTTAAAAAAAAAAAAACAAAAATTTGTCTTGAACATCGTGTTAAAACCAATCACTTAAAATTTTTTATTTTATTTTTCCCCGGAAGGTTTTAAAACTTCTTCATTCACTTATTCTTTGATCTCCTAAGATGTTTTTTTGTAGGAAGATCGTGTTTGACTTGTTTAGCAGTTCTCAAGCTTGAACTTGATATTGATATTGATTAAAAGAAATTTTTTATTCGTAGGAAGTCTTTTGACGACTGTTAACGAGTTTGTTAAGATTTTCTGTAGTTTGTTAAGATTTTCTGTTTGTGAACTTTGTTTGGATACATAGAAGAGAAAAGAAAAAAATAATAATAATATTAGTTATGAAAAAAAAAAAAGGATAGTTTATGTTTGGATAAATAGAAGAAAAAAGGAAAAAAAAAAAAATGATAATATTCTTCTTTGGATATGATAGATGGGAGAAAATAAAAGAAATGATAACAACTAAATTACTATAACTTATTTTTAAATATATGAAATATGAGTGGAATGATAATTTTTTCCTTTTAATTATTGAGGGAAGTTTCGAAATTGTGAAAATACTCCTTAAATTTCTCTTCCCATTTTTTCATTTTTGGAGTGATAGAAAATGAGGAATAAGGATCTCTCCCTTTCCTTTCTTTTCTATCATTTTTAACCAAACGAACACACTTTCACTATCATTTCTTTTATTTCTCTTCCTATCCCTCCAAATCTAATTCTATAAAAGTTTGAAAATTGTATTGAAGTTCAAACTTTTTACTTAATAAACATACTTGAGTTGTCTCCTATTAAGTCGATCTAGAACTATTCATCAATTTGTTCAATTACAATTCTTAGTTTTCTTGTTTTACATTTTTAAACATTAATTCGTTAAGGATTGCTTGTATTCTTGGTACCACATTAGAAGCTTTGGAATTAACCAACGTGTCGTGGCTTTGGTTTCCATCTTAAATTGGCATTAGTACATTAGTACTTTAAGCCTCACCATTGGGCCCTAGCTTACTATGCGGGCCAGCCTGGCTCGGCCTATTGCCCTCTACCGGGCTGAGTATGGACCTAACGATTATCTTTTGACCCAAAAGGCCCATAACATTTTTCGTCCAAAACCAATGTAAGATAAAAAAAAAAATTTAACACCAGCCAACTATGTTAACATCCTCGGATGCATAAATTTAAAATCATAAACAATCTCGATTAGGTATTTTGACTGTTTGATTCAAGCCAAATAAGAATGAGAAGCTTCTAATAATAATTATTATAAAAAAACATTACACCACCAGGCACGGACCCATTAAGGGCAGCCGTCTCCATTGGATTTATTTTATTTATAAAATTATCTATAAATTTTATAAAAAAACTTTAAAATGATTCTACTTTTTTATGAAAATTTTAAAAATGCCCCATTCAATTTTTAATTATACTTCACTATATATTATTATTGCTCAAGACAATTTTTTAAATCCGTTGAATAGACATTAGTGGATTGAGGCGTTACGAGCACATTATTTGTAAATTTACTATTTGTTACATAATTTTATTTAAAGATTAAGTCAGTTGAAAAGTAAGAAGATAAATGTGATTTATGAATTTGTATTTTTCTAGCTTAATGTGTGATATTGATGAACAATTGTTATCTCTGATCTATTTTTTTGATGCATTTTTTTTTTTTACATACATGATAAAGTTATATTTATATAATCCAACTATTATTATTGTTGCTGCTGCTTCACAGATTAATCTAAAGAGGCCCCTACAAAAAATCATATTACAATGAACTATTATATTGTTATTTGTTAATATATTAACCACACGACAAATGTTCTCAATTAATAATAAATTGACTTATTCATACACCAAATAAAAATAATATTCACCCCAAATTATTATTATTGCTGCTGCTGCTTCGCAGATTAATCTAAAGAGGGATCCCCTACAAAAAATCATATTACAATGAACTATTCTAAATTCTAATGATTATTGAATTAGCTCATGTTGCAATTCTATTTACAAGCTAGTGTGTTGCCAAAATCCTTGCATTTTTATAATTACA